TATGCATATATGTGTATATATGTGTATGTGTGTGTGTATATATATATGTGTGTGTGTGTGTGTGTATGTGTTATATTTGTGCTGATAAATAAAGGGAGATTAGTATAGATCTATTTCAAGCTATTTAGCTCTCATCAGCTAGCCATACCCTTACTGGGATTCGATATGTGTATATATTTATGTGTGTGTGTGCACGCCCGTGCGTACACACACACACACACAAACACATATTCCATATACAAATCTACTTTAGGTTCCTCATTTCTGAGCCTTGGACCTCAGTTCAGGAACTGAGGTGGAATAAATGGATAACAAATATCTTCATAATTCTTTCATGAATTGCCATGTAGTTATTACTATAAACCAGTGGTGGGTTTCAAAAATTTTTGGAACCTCTTCTGTAGGTGTGGCCTGCTTTCCGGGTCCACTGGTGGAACATCTTCTAACCAGTTTGGTAGATTTGACGAACGGGTTCTACCGAATCGGTGCGAACTGGTAGAAACCCACCTCTGCTATAAACAAACAGAAATATATGGTTAATGCTCTGGAATTAGTTTCTCCAGCCTTTGAGTGTGTTATTTTTCCATGGACAATACAGCATTCATGAAAATTGTCCCTTGATTTCAGCTAGTGACTGTATGGAATATAAACTCAATAAAGGCAGTCAGTTGGAGAAAGAGGAGCTTTCCCTTGAAATTTCCTTCTCAGAATCAATCACGGTGCCTCCAAAACACAGAGAATGTCACAAAAGTCAAAGGTTAAAAAAGGATGATTCTGCATTACCTGTAAGTTTAAGGTCCTCAAGTTTATGTACTTTATATCATTCCTGAATTTCTTTCTTTCAAGCATAAATATGTTACCTTGACTTTGGAGATTTGGGTGTGGGGGGAGGAAAACTAGTTTGTTTTCTAAACAAGTGCTATTTCTCTGAAATGAATAACTAAGAAATAAGGTATCTTGCTGAAATTATTCACAAAATACTCATATTGGGATAAAAAGTCTTTGATAGGGTTTAATCGCAAATTATGAAAGTCAAGAGAAATTTCACTGCCATAACAAAATTTTATTAAAAATGCCTAATAAACAGCCACATGCTATATTCAAATTAGTCAAAGCTGCTACAAATTTGGTATACAAAGCCTATTTGTTCTATCCATTAAAAGTTTTAAAAGGAGCACAGAACTCAATAAAATTACTTTAACTCTCCTCCTGAACTCAAGCAAATTTTTCAAGAGTTCCAGAATCTGTTGGGAAAGCTCAGAAAAACACACAAGGTTTTAAAATTCCAAGGTTTAGAGGGTTCCTCCCCTGCCAGAAATTGAAGAAGTGCTGCTTCAAGAGTTCCATAACAATATAATAGTTAACAAAGTATAGAAAGGGAAAAATCTCAGTGTTAAAAAAGCTAATTATTATAAAACTGCATTTTATATAAGTGAATAAATAAAACAATATCAGTTTTTTTGCCTTCTATAATTACATAATTTTCCACACAAAGTGTTGAGAGCTATATTATCAAGATGTTTTGAATAAATTCATAAACATTAAAAAAATTTGACTTTTAATATTGCATGTTGGATAAAAATATTATTTCAGAATTACCTGTACAATAGAAGAAGGGAGACATTGGCCTGATGTATAGGTCTGCTATCTATAAATGTTTGAATTTGTACAGATTTTCCCATGTATCAGATGCATGATCTTTGTTTGAAAACACTGTTTATAATTTATTTGCCCTTCTCTATTAGGTTTATCCTAGACAGGAAGACTTGCTGATAATTGCTACAGTGATGCATTTAAATATATAATAATTTCCCTAAACATAAAATAAATTTAGTTTAATCTTATAACAATAATTACATAGAGTAATTATTCAGAAATAAAAAGTAATTCTAAATGAATTTGGGTGGGAGAGTGAAAGGGTTCCATGCTACTTGTAAGTCTTCTATGTATGCATTTAACAAGGCAAGAATTTAGATACAGTTTGTTTAATATTCCTCCCACCCCTAAATTCCTAGAACATTAGGGGAAACTTACTATGCCATCTATAGCAGTGTTTCTCAACGTTGGCGACTTTCAGTCCTGTGGACTTCAACTCCCAGAATTCCCCCAGCCAGCTGGCTGGGGGATTCTGGGAGTTGAAGTCCAAAGGACTGAAAGTCGCCAACGTTGAGAAACACTGATCTATAGACTGAGGATTGTAATCAGTACTCTTCTTAAGATAATGATTTATAACTTGATTCACTTGCTTTTTTGTAAAAAATATACTTAAGGATGATATACTATACGCATACATGCAAACTTAATAATGTTTTCAATGTTAAATAATTATTTAAAATCTATTACAGAAATATACAATTAGGAAAAGTCGACTTGGATTAACTGAAGTTGGAGATTTGTCTCCTGAGGACATGAAGAAAATCCGTTATCTCTCTCTGATTGAATTAACGGCTGTCTATGATGCTTTAGGAATAGAATTGAAAAGGAACCGGACAGAAAGGATGAAAAGGCGAGGTAGTTACAAACAATGTTATGACATTAGATATTTAAGTTTTTTGTAACCAGCAAAACATTACTTAGCTGAAATCTCATATTTTAAATTATTTTTCTTTAAGAAAATGGCCTTTTTGGAGTTCCACTAGCAGTACTCTTGGAAAATGATCAAAAGAAGTTTCCTGGAATTAAAGTCCCCCTTATTTTTCAAAAAGTGAGTACTATTTTAAAGAGCTTAATCACCACTGCATACATAGAGAATAATAGTCATTAATCTTATAGTTTCAGGGCAGTTGACAAGCTTATTTCTGTTTATGTTTCGAGTCAGAAAGATGTAACTTCAGGTAAAATCATTGCCTGTCATAGTTCACTGTGTATATTGTGCTTCCTCAACCTGAAGCCTCCAGATGTATTTTGGATCATAATCCCAAGAATTCCAATAGTTTGGTCACAGAATAGCTAGAAATTCTGGGACCTATATTCTAGGTCTTCTAAAACAGCAGTGTCAACTCATATTGTCACGGCAGTGTCACATGACATATCGGGATTATTTTCCCCCTTCACTAAACCATGTGTGGGGTGGCCAGCATATGAAGCATCCGGAGCTTGACAGCCCTGTTCTAGAAGATTCCAATGGAAAGCCCTGCTCTAGAAAAGATAGCATAGTCATCACTGAGGACAAAAGTTCATATTTCTGACTCTTCATTAATTGATAAAAATAGGAAAAAATCAAATAAAAATCAAATAAAATAGTTTTACCTCTTGATTTTATTTTGCTTGTATTTTCTTACTAAGAATAACATTAGAATTTAATGATGAGTGATTATTGTTATTATTATCAAGTAGAATATAATACTATTTTATTTCCTAAAGAGCCCTAACAATTCCTTCAACAAAGTTTTAATTTCTTGTAAAATGTTTGTTTGGGCAAAAGTTCAGGGTATCTGTTATCTTTAAGCTTCTCACTCAGTGGACAGAATTTAAAAACTAATAAAAAAAACCATTTAGGGATTTTGACTAGTTCTGTTTATTTAATCACACAGATTATTTTGGTTAGGCATAATGTTTTATGTTCACAGGAGCCAATTGTTGTAAAAATGTCTCTTTCTATATTTTTAAAAATCTCTGCACTAAAAAATTGCATTAAAGTACTTTGTTGATTATGACATAGCTATTGCTCAAACTTGAGGAAACTGGTCTGGAAACAGAAGGTATTCTTCGAGTGCCTGGATCTGCTTGCAGGGTGAAGGTAATCAGTTTTTTCTTTCATAATTAAAGACGTTTGATACTGATGTAGGGAGAAATAATTTATGTGCAAGTTCTCTGTGAACATACATATACATATACAGGAGGCTCCACCCACCCGCCCGGATGTCATCACATCCCATTTTTGACGTTCTGTGCATGAGCACTTACATTTGCAAACCAGTAGTGAAAGTAAGTGAATATCACCCATATATATATATAAATAGTGTTCTCAAAATATCACAGTTTGGTGAACAAAACATTGTTGGAAAAAAACCAATGTTGAATGCTATATCAATGCAGAGCTTTGGATTCAGTTTCAAAGAGGTGCATCAAAACATGCAAGACAAAATTCATTAGCAACGTGTAATTTTATAAAGCAGTGGTAAACTGGTCCTGTGGTTGCCCCATGCAACTGATTTTGTACATCCCAAAGCAACCTTTCTGCATTGACTCCAAACAATCCCTTAGAGCCCCTCCCCCTTCTTTTTCTTTTCTTTTGTTCAGTAATGTTCAGTTCTCAGAGACTGTCTAGACAAGTCCCTGCAGTTTTTTTGGCAAGGTTTTTGAGAAATGGTCTTTCAATTGCCTCCTTCTTATGGCTGAGAGAAAGTGATTGGACCAAGTTCACATCGCTGACTCTGTGCCCAAGAAGGCCTCCTGGTTTCTAGCCTTATGTTTTAGCCATTATATCAAATTGGTTCTCATCCCATGCCCATATTGAGTACTAAATATGCTGAGTAAAAACAACAGGAAAATTAATGAAGTGTAGCAAATAGGTATATTCTATCCAGCATCCTATTTCTGCAGATCTGCAGATCAAGTAATTATTGACTCTTAGTAACCACATAACTTTTATCATGATGAATATCCCTAACCTGGTCTTTCAGATCTTTCAATTCTATTGTCACTATAACTGAGCCCATTCACCTTGTTGTTGGTCATTCCCTTTTCTCTTTCCTTCTGCCTTTCCCAGACTTATTTTTTTTTCCAGAGAACTGGGTCTTTTTATAAGGTATCCAAAGGAGGACAACTTGAGCTTGTTCATTTGTATCTCTAATGATAATTCTGGAGCTAAATTTTTCATTTGTTTTTTTTTTCTTTACTGTTCATGGCATTCTGAGAAAATTTTCCCAATATCAAAGTTCCAATGTCAATAATCTTCCTATCCTACTTCTTCAAATTCAAATTTTATTTCCATAGATTGTCACAGAGAATACAGTGGCTTGCATGATTATGATCTTTGTAGGTAGAGAGACATTATAGCATTTCAATATATTTTGTAAAGTGAATAATTCTCTTAAATCATTACAGTATTTGCTGCTATAGTGTTATTGATGATCATTCACTCTGGCAGTTATCTGCTTGCTTTAGCTCACTGTTTAAAATACTTAAGATTAAGTATGTATGTTTGCATCTTTGACCTAGATCTGGTGTATTGTTTTGCTGCATAATGCATTATCCCTCCCATCAAGCTTTCCTGAAGATGGGTGATATCATCTCTTTTAAATATTAAATAAACATGCTGAAGTGATACAGCAAAAGAGTAGGTGTGAAGGAGAGGAAGAGAGAGGCAAAGACAGAGGCAGAAAGAGACTAGGCAGAACAGTTCTTCCACCTAAACAAAATCTCCCCCAAAGAGATATTATCAAGGACTTTAGTTTGGAAGCACTTCTGTCAACCTAAATATTCAATTTATGCAAGAGAACAAATGTATAATTCAAAGAACACAAAATTCCATTACTATGGAAGAGATTATTAAAATAAAATATAAGTTGATACTACTTGTAAGGAAGTCACCTTATCTATTTTTTTCTTTTAGAAGCATCCATAAAACCCAAGAGTGAATAGCCCTATTACATTACCATAGTCTCAGATACATAATTCTATTTTACCAGTTCTTTGATGCATGTATCAGATTTCCTATGGATAAAGAGCTAATTTTGTTGAGATTACCAGTAAGAAGCAATGTGGTGTTAAGCTAGGAGAAGGAGAACCAAATTCAAATTGGCCTCTAGCCATGGAAACTCAATGGGTGACTTTGGATTGGTCACTCTTGCCTCTCTCGCAGGGCTGTTGTGAGGAGAAAGAGGTAAGGTGAATGCTATGAATTCCACGTTGAAGAGAGGCTGGATACAGATCTAAGAAATCTGACTACAACTAAAAAATAAATCTATTACAAGGACCTTTCCATATTAATCTGAAGTATCCTGTATCTTTAGCTTGGTTTTTTTTCCAGCTTGTCATTTCATAAACATTCAATGTTTTATCTGTTCCAACTATTATATATTGCATCAAGAACAATACTATCAGCATTAGATTTCATACAGTTTATAAGATGCCTTATTTGTTTTCTTTATTTGTCTTCTGAGCCACCGTGATATGTTTTTACTAGGTCAAACTTCCCTGTATTAGAAGAAAAGCCAAAAATCCCTAGGAAAAATGAAAATGTAATGCTTTTAATTTCAGTTATTGAATCATTTAATGTTAGCCAAAGAGTGGAAACAGAAAAGGACATTTTTAAAGCTGATCCAGATTTAACCATTCAAAGCCATTGTTTATTATGTTGACATTCCCATTTGAAAGCATTCCCATTTCTTAAAGAAAATACATGTGGTTCTGGTTTAAAATTCTTCTTTGAATCTAGCAGCTGAATAAAGACTCAAAGAGTCTTCTGTGTTCTTTAATTTCTACTTGTATCTCTAAAAGGTTGGTGCCAGCTGGGCTATGTTTCAGTACAGGCAATAGCTGTTCTAAACTATCTAGATATTGTGTGGGGTTACAAACTTAAGAAGATAAATAATATATTTTAGAGTGTACCATTAGTTCAAATATCTTTATTATCTTTTATATTACTTGCTTCATGAACATTACCAGAACTACAAAGATTTGTCATGGGAGGTATCCACCAAAATGCAGACATAGGGCAGATTTTGGTTTTATTTTTCTCTGTGCTGTATATCATTTTCTCCTTTGTCAGTAGGATTACTCTGCTGAACTTGAAATTTACAGTGATAACTACTTCAGCATTAGAAAATACTGTGAGAAAAGAGGCTATTTCATTATTCTACTGCACTGCTCAATGCTAAATTGCAAAGTCTTGAGTCTACATATAATTAAAGTACAGCTTAGTCTAATTGAATTGAGTATTATTTGTAAAAACTTAAATATGTTTGATATTGATATTCAAACTATATAAGATGGTTTTGAAAGTGTTATACATAATCCAGGAGCAAACTATATATACTTTATAAATTGTATGATAGTTGGTAATCTTAATTTATTAATTTTATATTAAGTAATTAGATTAATTTAATAATAACTTCATTGATAAATACTGTCTGAGTTCTTTAGAAACAATAAAATATAATACAATTTCTTTTATCAGGGGTCATGTTTAACATTAGTCACATTTGTTTATCCTGTAGAGTCTTCGTCAAGAAATTGAAGCAAAATTTGATGAAGATACTTTTGACTGGGATCAAGTACGCAATAATGATGCCGCAGGACTGCTGAAGATGTTTGTACGAGAACTACCAAGTCCTCTCTTCCCTGTGGAATATTTGCCTGCTTTTATCACATTAGTAGAAAGTAAGTAGGGAGGACACAATGTTTCACAAACCAATTGTTTTTATTTAAAAAATTAAGTATTTTTTTTAAATTTCAGCAGCCTCATCTACCTCACTCCATGTCAGCTGCAAATCTATGTCAATATACGTAACTCCTGTTGTTTTGCCTAGGGGCATTTCTGATTTACTTCTATTAAATCTGTGTGATTGCCTCCTCCAGCTCAGGTAACAAACCTGGATAGTTGGATAGAATATGCCATGTACGCCATATAATAAGAGGGAAAAATGAAAGGGAAAAGTGAAAAATTTTAGCTGTATCTATAAGTACCATCTTTCAGGTTTAAGTATTACTCTTTCAAAATGCAGACCATGTTCATAACATTTAGAACTTGAAAAATGTATAAGTAGTTTATTAATAGAAAGAACTTAGTCTCAGTGACAAATCTACAGTATTGTAAAATAATCTATATAATTTAAGTTACAAACATCTCATTATTCCACAGTCACGTGCAAAGGAGAAAATGATATACAGCACAGAGAAAAATA